GTTGGATGGGCTTGTAAGCTAGTAGCATAGAAGTCATAGTTTCTCTTGTGAAATATCAACACTTGACACAGGCATTTTGAAGAAAGTGCTGGTTATTCTGGGCTTCACGAGTAGATCTGCTAACTAAGCTTTGCTCTAGAGAGTAAGGAAAAATCAAAAAGTATCGTCTTACTCTTTTAAGTTTAGTATCAATCTGTGCACCAATGCCTTAAGGCTACAGGTTTCAGCTTTGATGTTGTCACTATATGAAGTTACTCTGACAAAGAAAGAAAGAAAGAAAAAAAAGTAAAAGCTTTGATATCACACGGCCCAAACCTGCCTCACAACTTCACAACCAAATCCAAAACTTAGGATCTATAAAATGCCATTTTAAATGTCATGTGCTTGAACTGTATTTGTTCATTTCCAATGTCAACACCTCCCTTTTCAGAGTAAATTTTACTTTGTAGCAGTCTTTTAAATGCCTTGACATTTAAGAAGTGAATCTTCTGCTTCTTGGCAGAGTTTTATGGAAACAGGTGAGGCAGACAAATCCTGCAGATTGTTTCAGTTTTCAGTTCAGTCTGGGAACAGGCATAACCCTCACGGTCATGTAACCTGACATTGGGGAGATGCCTTCACCTTCTGACTAAATCCAGCCATCACGTGCACTCACATACCACTTTGGGGTGATACCTGATCCCACAAACAAGCCATTTGAGTTTTAAAAAAAGTCTAAACCAAGAAGCACACAGCCTGCGTTTGTGTTTGTAGCTTATATACCGAAACAATAAGTCAATTACAGAAAATAAATCAACGTTTGAGAATAAGAAAATTGTTTTAGTCATCAATCGAGCAGAAAATGCCAAACATTCACTGGTACGAGCCTACCTAGTGAGAGGTTTTGTTGGTTGTTTACATCATTGTAATAGACAAGATGATAATCCTGACAAAACATTATCGTCATCTTGGGAAATTGTGTTGGCCACTTTGTTTGAAACTACTTTCTGACATTTCATAGACTAATCAAAAAATAATGTGTAGTTGCTGCTGTAGAAACATCTAGTAGTGCTCTCATTTGAAACAAAAGCTTAGTATGTAGGTCTGTTGAATTACTTATGTACAGTATGGCATCTGGCAAAAAAAAAATCACTATTCAGCATTAAGCGTCAATCTAGGTCATGACATGTTTTTAGGACTGTAGAGGCAACTGTAGTGTTTTTATTTGTTATGTGACGCACTCCACCTGGATGGACTCCTGTACCACTCCTCCCTTTGCCATCGGTAAAGAGAGAGCTTTTGCCTGGGGTGATAATGTGAGTAGCACTTTGAAATATTCAACAAGGTATTATGTGCCCTGTTGAGGTAATTCTGAAGCCAGATAGGCTTAGATAGATGGGATTGTTTCAGCAATGAGCTAGTAGGAAGACTCTAGTAGTAAAGCTGCGTGTGGAGCAGCCAACAGTGGAAAAGCCCTGTCCCTTCACTGCTGCTGTCCACATAGCAGAAACTGAAGAGGGGGGCGTCTTTCAGACTCAGCACGTCAGGCCTATGGAGGGCTATTTTACCGGACAAAAATCTATTGTGCACCTAATCTCTAGAAGCGCTGACATGCTTTGCGTTCTGTATTATCTTTAGCTATCCGGCCTCCAACCAAAGCATGAAATCTGGGGCTCTTTCAGGAATATATCTACATATCCAGTTAGGTCAACAATCAGCCAGCAGCCGCACATGCCAAGGCTTATCCACAGAAACCATTGCAGGGCTGAATGCACTCTATACATGCAGTACGGTTATTTAATGAGTTTGATTTTTACATATGATGGGAAACCACGTCTAACATAGGATGTGCTACACTGCAAATTCATGATTAACGGTTTAGCTTGGAACCCTCCTGCATACTAATACTGTGTTGAATCTTCACAATACATGTGAGATATGAAGAACGAATCATCTTTTAATCAGTGGTCTGCTCGTTGTTGTATTCTGTCTTTAGAGTGATATAACAAAGATTACAAGTTCACAATGGAAAGTCCCTACTCTACTACGTGTGGTTTGTTCTCAAGGGAGAGCAAGATAAACTCTCTTTACACCACACCATACAAATGTGGAATGGAAAGAAGCTATGTGGGGTGGGATTGTATGAAAAAAGATTTTCCACGCCAAAGGACGAATAAAGCGCTTTTCTTTGGTAGATTGCGACTGTGAAGTATCTTCATCCCACAGTGGAGCCACACCACAGTAGCTGAGAACCCCCCCCAAACATATCTGTTGAATATCTCACACACTTTTGAAAAAGTCTGCATCATAGTGCAAACTCTCAAATTATCTAGCAGAAGATCAATCATAACTTCTGCTCACATCTATGTGTCTATAAATCCTGTGTTTATGTTATAAATACATTAATATGATAAAAGATACATTTATGTGTTTGTAACCGAGTAACACAGTCAGTTAAAGCTCTACTTTTAACAACACTTGACTTATTGAATTGTGCAAGGGATGCTGGCCTTCTCTTGACTGACTGAGGGAAGAGGTCGATACTTAAATGCACACATGCATATAAGTACACACAAGGCAGATAACCGTGTTGTTTCCATGTGACGAAGACTGGAAATACTTTATTTTCTTAAGAAGGAGGGAAAAAAATATTTTTTTTGATCATAGCAGAAAAAAAACAAATCTGACATGTAACATTGGGGTGAAAGCTTAAGCCTTGATGTCGGGCCAGAATTAGGGGTTGAAAAAAACATACAAGGAGGGGAGGCCCGCCAAAGGCGCTAAACTATTCAACTGTTGTCAGTTCCCATTAAAAAGAACTCACCATGACGAGTGGGTCAAACAATCACACCAACACACAAAAGGGTCTCCTGCAAGCACGTTTGTGGTTTTGTTGAGGCACAAGGTTGAACCCGCATTCAACAGAAAGTTTCACAAACATGCATCACCATCTTATACAACAGGAATGATAAACAACCTGCAGCATGACAAATGAAACTGACAACTGGTTGGCTGAACGTCTGACCTGCTAAAACCTCTCTCCGTGTGCCAAACACAGCGTTGCTGCTCAGAGTACAAACAGAAACTACTAAAAAACAAAAGCAGAGGGAGAGTTGGACTCATAAAACCACCATCCTGCTGTTCTTTCTATTCCACAGCAAACCACCCTCAATGGTTGTCAGCTGTGTGGCAGTGTGTGTCTTGTGCAGTAATGTGAATCACGAGGGGAGTAACCCAGAGATTCCTCTTGAGTGTGTGTGTGTGTGTGTGTGTGTGTGTGTGTGTGTGTGTGTGTGTGTGTGTGTGTGAGAGAGAGAGAGAGAGAGAGAGAGAGAGAGAGAGAGTTCACATATGATCTCATATACACTTCCACTGGTGGGTGAAAATGTTGTAATTGCATTGCTCTGTGGTCACATTAGTGATGCAGGCAGATGACCTTTCCACACATGGCAACAGGAGATACTTGTAACACTGCTCCCAGCATCTTTTTCTGTGACAAAAGGAGTACGAGACTCGACCTTTGGTGAAATATCCATCAAAGCAAAAAATGAATATCTGCATCGGTTTTAGCCAGGCTTAAACATAACACACAGGGACCAAATTCTCTACTCCCATCATGATGGCAATCAAACTGGGATTTTACTGACAGTTCATATTGACAAGTACTGGGTTATTAGAAATATGAGTTAAAAGACTGAACAAAGGGCTTTAGGCTGCATGTGAGGTACATATACTACCGTGCATTTAAAATCAGACCCACTTTTTAAACCAAAGTGGGACATGGTAATGTGCTATCTAAGGGCATAAATCCTGAGTGACTGACAAAGGATTTGAGACAACTACCTCAGCTACTTAACCAAGAATGCTGCACTTGAATGCATTAGGTCAGGTCATTTTACCGGTGCAATAAAGGTGAGTTCATCTGGTCCTGAAAGGCTTCTCGCACAGTGCAAAGCAGCAAACGAGGCTCACGTTAAAAGAAACGCCCCTTTGCTTAACTTAAAATGCAGATTAGGGTAATTAAATATGGCGTAGTTTGAATGTAGCGAGTGGACGGTGAGGGTAAAAAAGGTAAGCTTATCTTGTGGGGGGGCAGAGAGAGTCTGGATCTCCCCGCCCCTCGGCGACCTCGCATTCCAGAGATTCCCACACTCTTTAAGCTCACCTGCCTTTTCATTCACCGCTCAGAAAACACGCTTTCAAGGGCATTGTTTTGAGAAAAGTGAGGGGTTTTTTTTTTGTGTCTAACGCCGAAACATGTATGCATCCTATAGCCATCTAAGTTTCCATCCCTGTGGTTACATAGGCACGGCATCGAAGGTCTCTCGTGAAAAGGTGTGCGCTTTGTTGGCGGTGAATCGGTCACAAGAACCAGATTAGGGTAGTATTAGATTCTCTCCTGCTGCGAAGAAGCCTAAAGAAGTTTTGTCTTGTGCAATAAAAAAAAAGAGAGCAAATACTTTCTCTAAACTCTAACATTCACCACTTTCTGAGTTCAAGTAGCAGTCCCATACTCTTCTCCTGCCTCGCGCACAGATGCGTTTATATACCCCCCCCCAAAACGTTTTCTCCCAATTATTCCGCAGTTAGTGAAAGAGCGAGAGAGAGAGAGAGAGAGAAAAAGAAAAGCAATTAAATACCTTAAGGAGGACTGTTTTGTTGCGCTGGCTGAGCTTTGGCTCGGGATCTACATCGGAACATGTGAGTTCATCGGTTAAAGTCCTGTCGTCTTCAGTAGTCCCATGCATGTGGAAGAGTGAAACGCGCCTCCATGAGAGCTACAGTCGTGAAGAAGAAGAGGAAGAAGAGGAAGAAGACAACCCCTCCGCTGGCTCCCTGCTCTCCACCAGGCAGCAGTCCCAGGCAATGCGAGCGTGCATGACGTCAGTGGGAATGTGGGGAAGCAGTGCGCACTCCTGATTGGTTGCTACGGGAGCAGGGGGCGTTGCCGAGGAGGTTCGCGTTGTGGAATCAACCAATGGCAGACGAGATGACAGTTTCCTTGGTTACAAATTTTGTCAACCCCATACACTGTGCAGAGTGGGATAGCACAAGGTAAGCTAGGGTTCAGCGGGTGAGATATGTTCATTTTTACTCGCATAGACAGACTTTATGCTGTGTGTGTGTTGCATTAAGTTATATTATGAGGCTCTGTAAAGAGTACCAGTGGTTCTGTTCACACTGTTGTCACATTTTAATTTGTTTTGACATCAGTGTAGACCTAGCAAGTTAGCTTAACCGACAACATAATAAAACAACTGTGACACCTTTCCAGCTCACCGGCCTTTTGTACGATTTTGTAGAGGTTTGTGTTCATTGTGTGTGGTATTGTTGAACTATAGTAGGGCTGCAACTAACTATTCTATGTCCCATTATCGATTATTACCTCTATTAACTGAGAAAAAGGTGCCCAACACTATTTCTGGTCATTGAATTGAGTAGTTTGACTCAACCACAGTTGAATATCTATATGCTTTCTGATTTACTATTTTAGAGGACCGGCAAATATATTCACACTTGAAAACCTGAAAGCAAGGAATTTTGGACATTTTTGCCTAATCAATTAATTGCCCAATAAAATCAGCTCTAAAAGGTGTATTCAAATGTTTCAAGTATGGACAATCATCCTGAGAAAATCAATAGCTAATGTTAGGCTGCTATTATGTCCTATCTTAACCTTACCTTGCCGTTTGGTGTTAATGTAATGAAAAATGATAATCTTGCTCTGTGTTTCAAAAGTTAAGCCTGTGTCTTCCGGAGATGTGAGGAAAAGGTATCAGTTATTAACAGAGAGTCAGTATTCATTTCACACATATCCTTTCCTGCATACTTCACACCAGTACTTGTACATGTTAACTGACACAATGCCTGTATGGCCAGAATGTTTTAATGCTTATTAAATTTTTTTTTTTTTAAATATGGCAAAGTTTGTTTTTTTATTGCGCTTTATTGCTTTTGGTTTGGTATCTCTTAATAATCATTTTTGAATGACCCCCCAGGTAAAGTCTCATTTTTTATCAAGCTTTGCGCAACATTTTTCATAAGCAGTGATAAAATGTCTTTATTTTGCAGGCATTGTAAGTGCATGCAAATAGCGCTCTACAGTGATGAGTGGAAGGGATCCGCATACGTTCATCACAAACTATAGAGCAGAAGATGTGGGTAAGTCTGCAGAAATAGCTCCTGAAACATTGCTGACTTGTGACTCTGACTTGTGGCCTATTGATCTGATGAACAGATTTGACCTGAAGTCCCCATGTTGAATTCTCCAGGTACTGTCAAGTCTTTGATGCTTTTTAGAGGCAGCACTGCTTGTGTTTATTCACCTGCCTCATTGAGTCACAGCTGAACAACTCAAAAAAACTGTCTGACACAGTTACTTTGCTCTGTGCTGCACCCCTCCCCACACAGTCCTTTCCAAATTACCCATACAATCCATTAGTGCTCAACTGGTGCTCCTCCTCTGTCTTTACCTCTGTTTCTTTTTTTGCTAAAGTCAGCATAAAGACTTAACTTCAGACATTAAAAGTGATGAGATTTTCAACAATTCCAGTGATCCTAATTCAGCCATATCATTTGCTTTCATCCATGCAGAAAAACTGACACTGCGGATGAAAAATGGTCTTGGCAGCTCAAAGTACAGACCGGCTGAATATAAAAAACTCCAAGCCATTGTTGATGCCAAACGCCTGGAGTCTGATCTAATTGGACAAAAGGTAATTTTTTGTTATCAATATCATGCCTGTGCTTAAAACTGCTATTTTATTATGAAATCCATTCCTGTTATGGTTACTAACACGATGATTCAGCACTAAAAAAAGAAGAATGTGCAACAACACTATGATATAGAATATTTTTCCAGAGAGCACACAGTTCTTATTACCCACCACAGGAAGTGCCTCTACTGACAAAAACATGATTTTAATGTGAAGTGATAAAACAGTATGTCTCCAATAGTAGTAAATTGAATATTTTTTTTATGTTTGTCTACCTTTCTTTTTTATCTCTTACACACCACATACTGTAAAGGGATTTCCTTCCATATAAAACAGGCATTGCATAACCTTTATAGTTTGTCCAACAACATGAAACAGAGCAGTAATATCGCTGCCATATACACAATAGCATTGCCAGTTTCATGAATATTCATTTGGCTGCCTGGAGTTTTTTATAAAACTGCGGTTCATGGTCTTCTGACTCTGAGCAGAGCAAAAAGTTAATGCTAGGGGCAATTGTGATAAAGCTGTTAGACCTGTGGTGTTTTAATTGGTAAACTGTGGCAGAAGCCTTTTAGTATCATTATGGTTGCCTGTGGCTCCTTCCAACCCTGCTCTCTGCATAACCTAGATAAGACAGGCTATGTTAACATTTGGTTGCCCCGCTGAAAGGCAGGCTTTCTGAGCATTGCCCATTGGTAATGTGATAGAGGGTAAATAAATGACCATGAGTTGCCTCAAGCATGGGATCTTTCTTGCTCTCCAGGAAGGGACTGGCAGCATTAATAGATATTGAAACCTTGCCCTTTTGATAAGATTTTCAGCAGCACTGTAAAAAAAGAAAAAGAAAAAGGTACCTCGCAATAGAGTAAAAAATACTCAACAATGAATGTTTAAAAATGAGATACAGTTAAGCCATTACTGATACTAACTAATACTAATGCTGATGGCCCAGTTTGAAAATACGAACGTGCATAATTGAAACACTCCTTTATTCATGCACATATGCACAGAGGTTATCTCTATTTCAAAGTATAGGTTCAAGAAAAAATAAAATAGCAACAACTTGCAAAATTCAAACACAGCTCAAAATTCATTACAAAAACAAATATACCCTTTTCACGGTTCTCAAAAGTGCCATCCCACTTTTTCATAGACATACAATTGGCCTTTTCTCATGGATGATATTTTGACATGTCACACTAGGAAAAGCAAAGGTGTATACAATCGTGTACTATATTTACCCTCTGTTATTTTATCAGATTTCTTTTTACATTTTATCTTTTTCTGATTAAGAACTTTATGCAAGATATTGTGTCCTGAAAAAAATTCCCACAATGGAAGGAAAAGCCTTGTATGTATAGCATGTACACTACTTTCTGCTGCAATTTACAATGCAATGTGCCGCAGATGCAAAAAACAACAGTCGGACGACACTGTAGCTGTCAATGTTGACACAAAATAACATGATTATTATGTGTCTGACATCTGAGTTCACTGCTCACCACAGAGTAAGCTATTATACAGATAGAAAGAGTGAAAAATAGAGCAGAGCCATTGTTAATGTTTTTATTAACACCTGTACTTTTTCTACTATGAAAAGCCAAAATATCTGCTGGGAAATGGACCTATGGCTAACAAGAAATGTATAAAACACAGTCTCACTGTTATACACCGATCAGCCATAACATTATGACCACTAACAGGTGAAGTGAATAACACTGATCTTGTTATCATGGCACCTGTCAGTGGGTGGGATATATTAAGCAGCAAGTGAACATTTTGTTCTCAAGTTTATGTGTTAGAAGTAGGAAAAGTGGGAAGTGTGTGGATTTGAGCGATGTTGACAAGGGCCAAACTGTGATGGCTAGACGACTGGGTCTGCCGTGGTCAGTACCTGTCAAAAGTTGTCCAGGGAAGGAAAGGCAGTGAACCGGAGACAGGGTCATTGATGCACGTGGGTAGTGAAGGCTGGCCCGTGTGGTACGATCCAACAGACGAGCTACAGTTTGTTGCAGGGTGCCCAGGTTGTCATAATGTTATGGCTGATCGGTGTCCAACAAAGGTAGACCAATGAATTTACACAATATCTTCATAATCAAGTACAGACATGATTTTTGACTGTATTATGGTATGTATGTATTTTGGCAAACGTCAGATTTGAATACATTTTTAACTTTCAACTCAGGTGTTCCACGTAGGTGATAAAAGAAAGTATGTTATCCATTTAAATGTTCTCAGGGACCTTGAAAATAATGCACATTTTGTATATGTAGTGTCAAGGCTGTGATTGACTGAGATATCTGAAAGGCATCCAAATCAGACTATATATGTGCAAGGGCTATCTCATATAAAGTTAGATATAATCAGAATCAGTTACATTGCCAAGGAGGTTTTCACATACACATACAAGGAATTTGCCCTTGTATTTTGGTTTATAACAATAAACACAGTTTTAGTAAAGGAAAGGACTACAAAAGCCATAAAAATATGAACAGTATATCAAATATATCTGTTTTTGCTTTTTAAGATGGTGTAAAAATGTACATTACAATGTGGAGTGGCGAAGTTATGACAAGAAATACAGGAGGCATATATTTTCTCCAAATCTGTTTGATACAAATAATAACTTAAATGGTGCAAATGCCTTTTCTTAATACAGTGTGAATGGAAATCTGACAGGACACTCTGTGTTTTAATAGTTAATATAATATTGATAAGGGGGGAATTAATGGTTTTATTTGGCTGGATGTAAGTTCAGCTCCAGGCACAGTTTTTGTAATTCAGCCAAGTTATTAGATAGCCAATGCAAATTAAGATCACCTACGATTCAATGCCTGCAAGGGGCATGGGATGCCATTAATTTGGCCTTTTTCCTTCAGAGCAGCACTGGTTTCAGATTGAACGCTGTTGATTCCAATAACTATAAAATTGACGTCACCCCGAGGGTAAATGTCCAGCACAATATATTCACACTTCTTTTGCTACAACAGCAGCAGCCACTTGATGCATAGATGGACAGTCACAACATAAATCAACAGCCTAACTCCTTTTAGATTTACTATTAATATGAAATAGATGGTACTCATGTATTAGTTATGTGAGATTTCCCTTTGTACAATTATCTGAGCCAGTGGCGTGTGTATGAAAACACTGATAGAAGACAATGAATCGCTGCACTGAGAGTGCTCTGAACGAGGGCCTTGTTCCTTCATGATGAAAAAGGAAAAACAAATGAGAGTAGATTAAGACTTCTACCTCCCCCTCCTCTCCTAATAACATGCCTCATGCGTGTCATGCATGTTTCTACTTGATTATTTTAATTTGCTGCTGTTTATTTTGCTTTCATGCTTTAACAGTGATACAGTTTCAGTTGAATTACCTCAGTTTATGAGACTCTCACAGACACAATGCTAATAAAGACGGAAGCAAATGCCTGCATAGAAACATCCCTCATGTGCAGAGGCGGAGAGAACAACTTATTCTTAGCTATAGGATACAAAAATGACTTTTCTGTTTCACCAAACCTCATGATTTATTCACTTTATAGTGATTATACTTTTCCGATGTTATAAAATGGTCCTGATAATTGATGCATTAAAGCACTCCAGATTCAGGTTTTCCAGATGAAGTTAATTATTTGTGAGAGCAAATAAATGTCATGGCTAAAGTGTATTTAAAAGCAAACACTACAGTGGTTTGTTTTTTTTATTCCAGTTCCAGGGAAACTGTTTATTCCTGCTGTGCATTAAACCTTGTCTTATAGGTTCAAAAGACTCGCTGTGCAGCCAAGGCAACCAAGGAGAGCTCCATACTACGGCAGCACAGGCAGGTGTGGAGCAGAGAGTGCCCCAGGCTGCAAAAGGCTGAGTAAGAGCCCCCTATTACTCCCTGTCATTATCTGCTGCAGCTTTCTGAATCTGCTATTACACCACGCAACCATTCCACTTAAGCCCCATTGAGCCCAGACAGGAACCTGCATGGAAAAAAAGGGTGTAAAGAGGGGCAGGGGGGAAGTAAGCCCAATGAGAAAAATGAATCAGGGAGAAAATAAGAAGAGAAGGAAGATTTAAGCTGATTTTCTTGCAGTGATGATATTGAGTTAAAGGGTGAGAAACAGAGGGGGGTTAGAGCTGTGTGTGGACAGAGGGGTATACTGAATGGAGGAACACTCGCTCTGCGTGCTGAAGCAGAAGTGTAGGAACTGGGGCCCCAGCGGTGTCATGCCTTGTGAAGTGAGAAGGGCAGCACTAGCTCTGGGGTGCAGCTTGTTTGGCTGCGTAATGACTGTGTCTGAGCCACCCAAGGTTAATGATGTACACAAGTGTGAGCCTCAGTAATGAGCCTAGTCATAAAGATGTGCCACTGCTTGCAACTCTCTATACATATATCTGGTTAAATTACCTTGGGATTCAAAAGCCAACTTGTCAAAAGGGAAAACAGGCAAGTATATCACTATGGTTACTCGTCTTCCTTTATTCACAATCATGCCAACCCCTGTACCAGTTAGTAAGAAGAAAACAATTACTGTAATACCTGCTGTAGGCTTGTTAGTATGATACATTATGTCCCACCAGTCTGAGATAGTGTGTGTGCGATACATGGAAGGATAGACCTGGTCCCCATCCCACACCCGTGCCTCCAATCTAAAAATCTATCAGTAGTGTGCAGTGGCGCAAAGTACATTTATTTAAAGGACCATGTGTGTAGGATTTAGTAGCATTTGGTGGTGAAGTTAACTCCCTCAGTTCACCCTCTCCTTCCAAGCACAGAGGAGAAACTATGGTGGCTGCGAAATGCACGAAAAACACAAACAGCCCCGTCTAGAGTCAGTCTTTGGTTGGTCAGTTCTGTTAATGTTAATTGTTAGCGAGATTAACATGTGTATTGAACAAAGGCTCTATCTCTCTCTCACAAAACAGGGAGAGGGCTGAGAACGACATCCATGACTTTTTAGAGCAGATCCGGCCAAATGGTGGAACAGACACTGCCATCTTCACACTCACAGATTATGGTAAACAGTAGTTTTTAAATGGTATTAGTAACTGTAACTCTTTCAGTCTACTAATATGTGTCCTTGTATGTCTATGTTGGGGTTTAGGGCTGGACCTAAAGAGGGAGCGTGAGGCATTTAGGGTAGCCACTGTGGAGCCTGTTCATCAGCTTAAGGATGACCTGTGCTTCAGACTGGGTGAACTAAAACATCAGCACCTCACTGCCCCCCGATCACACTGGGAACAAGTAATACAACAGGTATCTGTGTGATATGAAAAATAAAATGGTTCAGCTTTTGAGAATCCTTGCTCTTACAACTCATGTACTGGGCTGTTAGTGAACCATTGGGAGTATTTTATCCTGTCAGTGTATTCAAAGCCTTCAACAATGAATCTTGGCTGTCTGCTCTCACTGCAGGTACGAAACCCAGTCAGTTTGTCCTGCACATCCAACAAAAGTTTAAACTCTCCTGCTTGTTCACACAATGATCTCAGCTTGCACACAGAATCACATTCACTGTCCATGAATCTCTTGTTTGTTAGATATCCACAGTCCCTAAGTCACCAATTCTGCCTTTGACTCTCAGAGGCTTTTTGGAAGCTCTAGAGATGAATGGCGAGATTAAGGAGTAAGCAGGGGTCTTTAAAGACAGACCATACCCGGAATGAACTGTCTGCCAGCCATTTTGTCTCCTCTGTGTGGCCCACTCATGCTTGTTTCTTTCCCATGACCCCCTCTACTCTTGCTAGCCCACAGCCCCTAACCACCTGACTGCATGGGCACAATAGGACAACCTCCCCCTTTTTGTCTTTTTGTTTTTTTCATAACTTTTGTCCGTTTGTTCTTATTTCTCCACATTACTTCACTCTCTGACTCGCAACAAATTCAAAGAGAGATCCTTTTTGGGTGCTATGTACTAACACATAGTATAACAGATCATTTTCAGAAACAATGACCCATATACCATTCATCCATCCATCCATCCATCAAATGTTGCTTATGTGGATAACGGGTGCAATGGCATTGTGGGAATGTCACTTAAGAATTGAAAGAGCCTGTTCCTTTTCTGAAAAAGAGAAACATACCTAATTATTTGATAAGCCTTATCTCCATTTCTAATCAGCTGTTTTCCTTATGCTATCTAACATCTCAGAAAATAAGCAGTTACTGATTACTTGCTATCACTGAATCACTCTAATGATAAATGTTTTTGAATCTTGGCGTCTGAGAGAAGAGGGGGAGCCTGTGTTCTAACATTACTGTTGATCTGAGCAGACATAACTAGAAGGAAGTAAGGCTTACAGCCGATAGTCTGCTCTTTGTATCCCTACGGCCTTAAATTTTTAGATGTAATATTTTAGCTGTAAAAAAAATCTTTCTTATTGATATCAGAGGAATTCCTGGATAGTCAGAGCAAGACGTGAAACTCTTATTTCCCAAAACAATATAATCCATTTGATAGTAAGGTAACAATTCATACTTTTCCATTTGATTTCAATCTGTCTGACAGCCTTGTTTGTTTTCTAAGTATGTATTTAATTATATAACTATTGTTTATGGTTTTATCCTTAAATTACCAGATCAACTTTGTTAAAGTCCAGCAAGACGACATAAATGCTAAACTTCATGCCGAGTACCTGGCCTTGGATGAAGAGATCATTGGCCTTAGCCTCGAGGTAAGTTTCTCTCTGCTGGTTTTGTATCCTCCTTCTGTTTCAGCAAGACACCAATTTCCAATCTTTATTATAGTTTAGAAAGTAATCACTACAGTCTATCACTAAAGCAAATGTCTGAATATTTTATTACATATCTCAAAGATGATCATAATTGTCCTCCACAGGAATATATCACTAGTACTTCAAATGATCTGGTGAACGTAGAAACCATTCCAGAGGAGGTTTTGGATTCGGACTGCCCTTATCCAGAGCTAAAGGATTCCCTGATCCAGGCCTTCCACTCCCTGTCAGAAAGGTACCAGAAGAGGGTGCAGAGTCTGCAAGAACAACTGCAAAGAACTGACAGGTAGGCCTGAGGACAACTTAAATTCAGCTTTGAATTGACTAAAACTGTGGTGATTTGTACAGCTAATATGTTATAAGTGTATTAAGGCAAGATCTTCAATATCTTCCTCAGTTTTGATAGAATTAGGCTTTTAATGATTTTCAGCTAGCTGTTTTGATAAATCCACTTATATGTAGAACTCCAATGTATGCTGGCAGATCTAAATGAAAGATTTAAAGCTCAGCAGGACATCAACAGCATATAGAGGCACAGTCACTTCACTCCCAAGAAGCAAGCTGTTGAACATGGCAAGTGTTTCTCACCAGGAGGTTGATTATAGCAATGTCTCAAAGTCACATCATGGCTTTATTTCCATATGGTTACTATATAGCACTGTTAGCTCCTATGAGTAGTATGCAATTTATCCTTTATCCCCCTGTGGAAATAAAATTGTGTAAAATGAAGGAAGGGGAACATAGTGTCATAATATTATCTATTTATATATTTTTTTGATATGTATGTATGTCCTGTGTTGGAATCTGTTTCAGATTATGTGGCTGGTGTGCAGATGACCACCAACGCTTCCAGTTCACTTTGTCTCAGTACACTCATGACATACCCAACCATAGAGCACTCTACATGGACATGCTGCAAAGACTCTTCCCTGAGAAAACTAGACAAGAACTGGTCAGTACTTTGGCAAAATATGTTGGAGAAAAAGAAAACTGATTTAGTTGATTATTAAAAAAATGTACTAAGTTTGTCAAATGAAGAAATCAAATACATGAAATGTATGTACAGTAAACACACAGGCATGCACACACTGGTCATTCATGGCCTGGAACGATGTACATACAATGTGGTTTACAGTACAAATCCTGATAGTTACTATTACACTTAAATATTTATTCATTAGCAACAATTTTGATTATCAAATATTTGTACGTTATATTTCAAGCAAAAAGGACAAAAATTAGTTTGACGCTCTCAAATCACTGAAAGATTTCCTGCTTTTGTTATTCTCACACAATAGTAAACAGAGTATGTTTGGGTATTGAATTGATGGTCAAACAAAAAGATAGAAGAAGAGATTTCAAGACGTTACCTTAGACTCTGGAAACTTTTTCACTACTTTCTGACATTTTATAGTATTGGGAAGATGAATTGAAAATGAAAATATTTCTTTATCCAGGGACGTTTCCCTGAGAGTAAGGTTCTATTTTTCAGGGGAATCCTGTTCACACTTATACTGTACCATGACGTACAATATAAGTATCATTACACCTTGAAGCTGCCTAGTACAACCACAGTCGGATCTGCTGACCACTGAGCAATTGGAGGTTACTTGCCTTGCTACTGCCCACTGCCCTTTTAATGTTTCTCCATGACTGAACTGCACACATTGTACATACCCTATTAGACACACGCACATACTGTATATTGGTGCACTTCCACACACACGCCCATCTAAAAATGTAACTCCCTTCACCAATCTGAAGCATCCCTGCAGTGTGCGTCCCCGGCTCCCTGATCAATGTTGCTCAGTAGCCTGAGCTGAGTGGACAGACACACAGATAAGCCTGGACAATGATCCGCTCAGCACACTGCAGGATGTGCCATGTCACCCACTGTGGACGACTTGCTCACGCCACCGCCCACCATTGCCATGACAACCGCCAGCCCCGCTCTCTTCCCTCACCCGCACCCAGAGACCTGTCCTCATATCAGTTCCAGCTGGGTGCTGCATTTAGAGCTGTGATCATTCAGCCTTGGGGGGTGGGGAGTGTGAGAGGGAGAGGGAGAGATGTGTTCCTCAACAATTTTTCTCCACACTTTTCACCTGCTCAGAAACAGACCAAGAGTTGATGTAGTGCTGACTCCACCTAATTCAGCTATTAGTCATAATCAAGCTGCCTTGCATGCAGTAGATAATCAGTGTGAACTACAAATTGGGTTGCTGAAACCTCACTGATTAAGTGCATAAATGCTATTCTGATATCAGTGTATTAAATCAAGATTGTATAGACTTTTTTTTGTGGCATTTTCTATATCTGAAATCTAAATTAAGTGAACAAGTATGACATTGATTGGTATCCAGTAAGCTCAAAGGATGGTCCCCTAGTTGAAGCGAGCTCTGCACCTGTGAAGTTTTGGCTTCATTAGAAATAAAGTGGGGAAAAAAGAAGCCAAACTGTTTCGCAGCAGTCTGTTATGGGCAGATATTTCCCTTATATTTGTTGTGTGAAAGGTAATTCCCATTGCTGTTGCAGACATATGGTTCGATTGGAAATTCTATAGTTAGTACTTTAATTACAGAATCGTCTCTGTGGAGTCAATGTCTTAGCTCTAAGCTTTTCTTATTTTGGATTTTCACTTCAGCGCATTGTTGGCTGTTCCTGGTTGAGCCTTACTATTTTGCTCACCTGCCTTTTTAGTTCCATCTGTGACCAATCATTTCACAATGATTTCATCATTTTCTGTTGGTTTTGTCAGTCTTTAATTTAAATTCTAATGCAAGATACAACAGCTCTCTTTTATAACTAGATAGAAGGTGTGCAGTGTAACAATGATAAATGAGCTCTCCTCAGTTGCTGTTTTGACATTTTTTTTTCCATTTTGGGATCTTTGTGAAGAATTATTTGAGAGAGAACCTTTTTTTAAAATAATCTTGCTTTGTAAAAATATTTCTACTGTGAGATTGTCATTTCAGTTTCTCCATTTGATTTTGAAGAGAAATATTCAGAAGTAAGTAGGGCAGAAGGAAAAGGTTCAGAGAATTACATTGGTGACATTTACTCACTTACAATAATTTCTTGCAACAGTTTCTCTCACCATGACCTGCAATTGCAACCCAATTACATATCACTGTCTCAGCAAAGTGCCACTTTATGCTGTATGTACAGTAGAAGTATGTGGACATGTTTTCTGTCTTCCTTTTGCTGACCTAAAGTAGTCAGTTTCACCACCATCAGATGGTGATACTCCAGCTAGCCTAGAGTGGACATCTCCCTCTGCTGGATGGGGCTCTTTATTATCTATTATGACTTTGATGTTCTCTCATAACAAGTGGGAGGCTAACAGAGTACCAGCAGAATTTCATAGTAATACCCTCATAATGTGCCATGGCAATAGTGGAAACACTTCATATCTCTTACCTATTCTGGCTATATCTGGGAGGCCATTTTTATTTTCTCTTTTGTATGGCTCAATCCTGATGGAGACAGAGCTCCGCAGAGGGAATGTGGATGCAGCAGTTAAACTAAGTGTCGTGCCACTTTAAGTGTGCACTGCAGAGACAGTGCGGTGGATGCTTCCACATATATGCTGTATGTAATGTGTTGCCGGTGAAACATTGCAAGCATGTATGCACACGCATGCTGTGTTTGTGCTCTAACAACACACAAAGGCGAGGGTAGTAAAGGAGAGGACAAGAGAAAGTGAAGAACAAAGGGTTGATCTTCCTCAAGTTCTAAAGTTGTGCATTAATAAACAGGATTTGCTTGACTGCCTCTGGCACTTCTGTTCCATTGGCAGGCCTGTCAGCTCACTCATTTTCAATAAAACCAGTCAGCCGTCTAATGCCATCCCACCGTCAGTTAGCCGCTATTAGCCCATAGATGAATATCATTCCCTCTGTTCCAGTGAAGCAGCCAAGTGATGCAGCCTCTGTGAGCGCTGACACAATGATGAATAGCTACAGGCATCCCTCACACAGAAAGGAACTGTTTTCCTTCAGGACATTTCACAGCCAGGAGAGAGGGACCATTTTATACACCAGTGGAGTTAGATCTGACACAGAGTTTTCCCCATGGTCCTGCTGCCATTATTAAAGATAGTATATCATATAGGGATGTTTTGGGATGTCTTTTTGCATGTTATCAATTTGGCACAACACTGTGTATAATACATCAGTGCACATTGTATTCTTCATATTCATATTGGGTTTTTTCAGTTCTTATAAGGATAACTAATACACCAATTAAGACACTGAGTAATGCCTTTGTGTCACCCCATACCATGTGCAAACAATGCCTCCTCCATACTTATTGTTCTTCCAGATGGAGCATGAACGTGCGTGGGACTGGCAGCGCTTCACCCAGACACAGCTGAGAGTGGTGACCCAGCAGTGGCAGCGGGACCAGGAAGAGCTGCTGGCCCGAGCCCTGGTCACCATGCAGGAGGCGAGGCATGCCCACCAGGAGGAGCTGGAGCTCCACAGAGGCCGCCAGCACCAGCAGGACATCTGCTCACATCTCAGGGAGGAGGTCAGTGTCTGGTATACCTTCACAGCAGGAGCTGTCTCGTTTCAGGAACAGTTCCAACTTTATGAGACGTCACTTTTTATTTTAGCAATTATGCTACAGTTCTGTGCCTCCAGCCCATTTTTAATCCCTGCAGAAAATGGATCTATAACTTTAATATTGAGCTTGTTCATTGCTCTTCAGCTTACCCAGTATGAGCTCTCTGTGGTCTACTTCTCTATCATTCTTATTTATAAAGCACTCTCATTCTCATCTGCTGGTAGAGTGAACATAATTTAGCTCATTTCCAGTAATACTTAGTATGATGTGCTTTTTTCTGTGTCCTTCTCTAACTATGTAGATGCAATATTTGTTGTGAGGGATGTGTGAAGGACCAGACAGGCAGCGGTGTCTGACTGCCTTCTTGTGTACAGTATATCTGCTGACGAGGCTGCATATTACGCCAGGCTGCCTGACAGCATCTCTCGCTTTAGCTGCCACTTGGGATGGGCCGTGAATGCAAACAAGCTAATAAGGATGGTCTTGCAAACATGATGTTGCTGTCTCTGAGGGGTGCTAGTTCACATTCACACAACAAACAAGTTACTCATGTGAACAAATCCATGTGTTGTTGATGCAGTGCTGTACAAATTGAATTTGCTTTGCCTGCCAGTTAAAAAAAAATGCTGCTTATGTCCTGTGGCTGATTAGATAACGAGACGCTCTGATGTACTGGGATAGGGTTGGTGTGGGCCATCTCCTCTGAGTCTAGTTCTGTCAAACAACAAAACATATCACTAAACAAGGGGAAGCGTGCTGGTTTCATTTTTTGCACTGTTGCTTTGGAGGAACAAGGTCCTGGGTGTGCTTCCTAGAGACCTATAGAGTTTACATGTTCTTACCCCCCTCTTTTCAGTGTATTTCAACCTGCAGATGTCCCCCGATTTATCATCTTGTGGACATACTAGCTACTCACCAGCTTACCAGTCCATGTTAGGTTCTAATTAATAGTCTTTGTTTTTGATGTATTGTTTTAAATGTGCTTTATAAGTAAACTTTAGCTTTGATTTGCTTTGATAGAAGAAAGGAATTTGAAAATGCACATATTCCACTGTATGTGAAGAATATTCTTGGGAGGCCGAGCCGGGTATATTGTGAACTAACAAACCAACAAGCCCTCTGCTGGGATCTTTTCTCAGGTCTCCATGTTAGGACTGTGGAAACACAACAATATATAACAATCTCTCTCTTTGTCATGTGGGCCACTCCTTGTACCACTTCCCATGTGCAATAGTTGATTTTCCACATCTGTGTCACACTTAAATGTTCAATTGTGCTTTGGATAAACATGTCTCTGCAAAGATAGGAGAGCCAGGTGCAATATATCCCATTCCAGGCATTGTCTCAGCCCATGGGGCAGATTCTGTGATTTTAGTGTTATCATTTAATTTTCTAGCAAGCCTGTAAAATTGTGCCATAAAAACTGGCTCTTTATCTCTTTTTTCACAAGCTGCACCTAACTGTGTAAACTTATAAACATAAACACTTTAGATTGAACCTACAGCACACTGATTTACTGCAGTATACCTCATGACACCAAAATCTTTCTCTCTAAACCTAAAACAAAGATTGGACAGTTTTAGAAGAGTTTGACAATTGATTATTTTTTCATGGAGTTTAATATGAATTCTTCCTGCCACAATTTGAAGGAGAAATGTACCGTAATCAAGGAGTACAATCTCAGGTGGCATTACTCTACCAAACATACAAGGGAGGCTGTGTTGCCTTGCTTTGGAGTCTATATAGTTTAAACTTATTGATGTAAAAGAAAAGACCGGAGGTTTTTATTTTACTGATAGAGAACAATTTGGTCTTAGAGAAAATATTAATATAGCCTAGGATTTCCATATTGCCGTAAGTATCCATTAAAAACATCAACTCCACTGTATTTGCCACAGTGAAAGTCTTATTTAATCTGTTTTTCTTTGTGTTTGTTTTAACTCCTGGGAGTCATGTACTCCAACAGTCAACAGCTTGCAGATTTTGACATAATACATGACAGTACTTGTGTTTTTCTCCTGAGTTGCTTTTATTATACAGCTGTTACATTTAATTGGACTCTTTTCTCTTTATCCTTCACTGTGTTCTTTAATTTACTACTGATGTACTGTAAGTGAAGAAGCAACTTCAAGGTCAGTAATGAATTCCCATTCATTTCTGTTAGAATGGAGTTTAAGATACAACTACAATGACTGTGGCATAATTTTTAAAATGATGAAATGTGCTTTATATTCAAGACAGTATCTGCAAACTCACTTTTAATGTATTTTTGAAAACTACAGGGGCCTTTGACTTTCTTTGTATACCTGCAGTAGAACATAGACTATGGCAAAGTCATTGGGTTTTGTTTTTATGGGTCTCTGAGGCAATAAGAAAAATAAAATCACACAACCATTTTCATTCCCAATGGCTTTTCCACACTACGTTTTTGTTTATGCAGTGCATGTGCACATATTTGCGTTTGTGTGGAGGCTCAGATGGACGCCTGTTTGCATCCAATCTTTCTTTCCACTGCCTTTATCATCCCAGCACAGCGACACAGCGGCGAAACAAGATGGATTCTCCTCCCATTGCATCTTTAACGCTTTGTTTTCTGCAGCTGCTCCCTCTGACCCAAGCAACTCTCCTGACTCTGCTGTGAGTCACTCAACCCACTTGAGATCAACTCCATTTCTACACTTTAAATTTTATTCCTGCTTTATTATGTCAGCTGTATAGTGTAGTATGATTTAGTTGAAGACTTGCACAATGCAGCTAGCGGGCTACCTGAAGGCTATGAAAATATATATTTTATAGAGGACTCCTGGTCAACATTGTGATCCATTATTTAAGAGGAATTCATCCTCAGTTGTTTAACTTTGCTTATCTGCATAGTGTGTTGTACATATAAGGGTACAGGCTACGGGTACTTGTACCCCAGGGGGTTCTTGTGCAGTTGCCAGAGGTTATGTTGAAAGCTCACCTAATTAAACTCAACTCAACAAAAAAAATATGTGATTTGATTAATAAAAGGATAGGATTGGTGTGATGTTGGTGCTAATAAGCTGCCCAGATGAATCATATATACTGTCAATGGTTGTAACACATTAACTCCACTTGTTGCAACTGAGAGTTAGTAAAAGAAACTTAGCGAGTGAGTAGAGTACTTGAAATAGTTTTTCTTAAAGTAGTTAATGAGTAAACAGTTGAAATACACTAAAGTGGATAAACAGTTTATATAGTTAAATAAAAGTAATGAATAAACCAATGAAATAAAATAGTAATGGCTAAACAGTTTAAATAGTTAGTTCAAATAAATAGATGAAAACAATGAAATAGTTGTGTAAATAAACTAATCTTTTATAACAGCTCTATCAATGTTAACAGCATTTTTTAAATAGATTAAGAAGTTAATGGACTGCTGTGATTTCCAGCTTAAAGAGTAAAATACTTACACTGTTATACTGTCTCGCTATGATAATGAAAATAACCACCCTCCCCATCTAATCTTGTCTCTGCCTCCAAGCGTTCAGAAGAGCATATTTTGGATGATTTTTGGTCAGTGCCCGTCTGGTTCTTACCTCATTATAGGGAGCACGGCTGTGTGCTGCCAGCTCTCTTCTGATGGACATGTAGTGGGAAGAAATCCAGGGTAATTGATTTCAGAGTTACCGTGTACCCCTCTGTTTTGGAAAGGGCAGGGCTGTCACACAGACCTCAGCTCTTCTCCCCTCCTCTTGAGAACCACAGATTGGCCATGTAAAGATGACTGGCTGAAATCATGTGTCTGGACACATATGACATTACTGATCACATAGCAGATTTTCAGCTTTCCAAGGAGCTGCCGATGTAATATACAGTATATATACAGTAGTAGTAGGTGTGAATGCGTCAGCCATGGCTTATTTCCTTCCAATTTATCAGTGAAAAACAGACTCTTCTTCTAAAATCATCAGCTGTTTGTTCTGCAGCGCTCTGGCTGCTGTAATTAGCCGGCATTGTTCTTGGTGTTACTGTTCATCCCAGCCTTTCATTCTGTCCTTGCTTTTGTTTTGCCTCCCACTTATATCTCACTCCCAGGCATCTTTGATGAGCGATTGTGTTTTCCACATGAGTAAATAAACCCTGGAGGGATGACGGATTGCTCCAACATGTTCAGGTGGGAAAGGGATGAGCAGGCCAATAGGACATGCGACGCAACAATTGTAAGAAGGAAGGTTTTCATGAGACGGGAGGTTTTCTTTCAGCGCAACAGCTATTTTTTTCATTTTCTGCTCTCCAGAGTACTTTTTAATATAAACAGCACTGTTACAGATTAATTTATGCCCGCATGATCTGTGTGCCCTTCCTGTATTCTCTAGGCACTGTGTATTAGCAGATCCCCTGTCACTGAGTGTTAGTGACTAAAAAGTACAGCTCTTCATCCCTCTGGTGGCTGAATGGACACAGCAGAGTCTCAGTAGTTGAGACAGTGCGTGGGCCACACAGTGTTTGGGCTGACAACTCTCTGAGGAGTTAATTGCTCATATGTGTATAATTCCTCCACCGCAAAGTGATGTACTTGTTATGGACCTTCAGGAAAATTCTGACTGTGCTAGCTGTGGAAAATACAAATATAATTGCCTAGTTTCATTTTTTCTCATCTCTTAATGGACATTAGTTCTTGTCCCTTTAAAGATTCAGTACATCTCATGTGTCATTAATGTCACTCAGTAGATTGGTCCCACATATGGAGGAGTGGTGCTGTTCCTATGAATACACCACTCACTCTCTCCAGTTTGCTGCTCCAATTCACAGCAGCGATACTGGTCGAAGCTTTGCAGTTTTGCACGAGTTCATAGCTAATCTGTTTCCCTCATCTGTTATATATTGAAAGTTTGCCATTAAATGACCTGCAATAGAAAATTTGACGGCTGCTGCAACGCCCCCTGACAGAAGACATCACGATAACTGTACAGTTGTATTAACAAAGGCTTTGAGCAGGCTGCAGTGTGCAGATAAAAAGGCCTATCATTCTTTTGTTATTCTGACATCTCTGCAGTCATTTTGTGCTGCTATGAAAAAGGATGGTGTCCCATTTCCCTTTGAATTCACAGAAAATGAGATTCCAGTGACAAATTACTGTAGACTGTACATAATGAACATTTTATTCTCTTTGTGCTCCCCTAAAAGGCCTTTTCATCTCTGCCTAAACAAGAAAGACATACAAAATACATTCATCCACTGTGGCTCTTACAGTGTTCACAGTGGATCTAAGCTATAAAGATACATTTCAGATTGTTCTGTGACCTTAGATGACTACTGAAACCGAACTTTTAACTTTTTGATTTATGAGACTATGGAAAAAAAAACAAAGACATGTTATTTGTCACATGTTAGTTTGTATGTCCCAAAAAATATGCTTTACAGGCCCACCCATCAGGTTGTTTGTACACCCCATCTCTCAAGGTCCCAAGCATCAAACATGCAGGTGTCCTATCTGGGCCAGGCCGGTGCTTGATGGATGGTTTAATTATGTGCACTTGTTTTTCTGTAAAAAGCTTATTTAATTTTATTTTCAGAGGGACAGAAGGAGAGAAATATGGGGAATGATTTGCAAAAAAAAATCCCCAGCTGGACTTCTAGGTTAGAGCTCCAGGAGACCATGAAATATTGATAGTTTAAAATGTATTTAAACCCTTTATATGAACTGTATGGAAAAAACCTCTTTTATACTCTACCCAATTAAGTATTTTAGCAGGCATCTTTTCAATCTATGCTGAAACTTGAATGTGCTTTTGAGGTTTTGTATAGGTCTGGTATTTTACTCAAGGAAACACTGAAATAATTCCTTTACAATCACAAGATTATATTACACAAGGCAATATTGGAATAAGCGCCAACACCAGTGGGTTCACATTACATATTAAAAACAGCAGGAACTCCATGACAGGAAAGATGGACAGCGCAAGACTACTTTTCCATAGCATATATGTAGCAGCTTGGATATTGACACAGTGCTGGCACCATCATTACTCAGTCACTCCTCTCTGTCAGTACTCAGGATTGCTCTTCTGGTCACAAAAATTGCATATTGAGCCCAGTTTCTGGAAAATAGAGCCCTAAATGTCTGCATGAGAAGAATCCATGTTGTGTCTCTCCAGCTTCAACACTGTGAAATGCAACTGGATTAGAGACTGGATTGTTTTGAGTCCTCTCTCAAACACGCAGCTGCTGCTTTTTCTCAGGCAGACATCAACTATGATTGACTTGATGATACTGCTGGTGCTAATGTGTGTGAGACCATGTTAATTTGCAGTTCATTACTTCAGGGATTCCTAAGCTCTCCTCTGATAGATCTGTGAATCTGTGTGCCCGGTCGGAATGCGACTCTTTAATACCCGGCACGCCACCGAGAGGCTGCTGCATAACGAACCTGTCACTCACTCCCCAGCAAATGTGTGTGCGTATGTGTGATAAGTTTAGACGTCTGTTTCTAAATGTCTAGCTGGGTGAGTGAGGATTGCTTTCTCTCAAACACATGAGCACAATTTCAGAAGAGAAAAATTTGTCACATTTCTGTCAAGCATTGTATCTTCATCTTTGGTGATTACCATATTTTCAGACAAGTTAGCGCATGCTCTTTGTTTCATAAAAGCCCTTTAAACTCAATTGGATAATGAGAAAAATCCATAGTCACCAAGTTGCTGCTATTGAAAGCTGCTATTTTGGAGCTATATCTTTTGCGTAATACATTTAAACTAAAAGTTAATACTCAGAATCTTTATGGTTTAAAAGTTGGATGGGTATCTAGAGGAAAATGATTTATTCTTGACTTTCTTGGAACTGTGTATAATACCTCATCTGAGTTTCTATATAAGGGCAACTCTCCTCACTAGAATTAATTCTGTTTGTAATAGAGCTCAAACACGAGGGTTTTCTTTATGATTCAATGATTTGATGGGTCCTGAGGTGATCTAACGCAAAGTGTGAAAGGCATTTTTGACACCTCTTCTAAAGTTCATGCCACACTTTGGAACCATGCCGGTGGAGCTCAGCTGGTTGTCTCCCTGTGAGTGATTCTTTCAAGACAGCTGTTGATGGCCAATAACCTGCTTTTTGTTTCTCCCTGGTGTGTATTTGCATGTGTGTCTTTAGCTGCGGCAGTGGCGGGCCCAGCAGGAGGAGGTAGCGAAGCTGGAGGCAGTTATAGCTGCCAGACAACAAGCGGAGGAGGAGGCAAGGGTAAAGAGGGAGCAGGAGAAGGAGATGGCCATCAGATCACAGCAGAAAGAAAAAGTAAACACGTCCTCAACACACCCATCACAATGAATGTGTCAGTTTCTTCCTGCAACACTGCAATGTCACCACATCTGCATATGAATGTGTGCAAGCTTGTGTATGATTTTAATTCCTTCCTTATGTGTTACCAGGGGAAAAAAGGTTGCATACAACTTTTGTGATCAAAGAAAGTTGACTGAAAATATTATTATCCAAGAGATCTCCATAAATAGGTATATTACAGTGAATATTCTTTCTAGATGATAGATGGTATTTTTTATCCTGTGCTCACACATATGGGTTGTGCATAACTTATTATCTTGTGTATACAAGAGTATTATCTACATGGAAAAAACAAGATAATTCACTATAAATTCATATGCTTCTTTATCATGCAGCTAGCCCACTTTAGATGCACACAGGCAGCTCAAAATAGAGAGAACTTGGTCAATCAAAAAAACAGGGCTGTCATCAGCAGGAATAATCTGCTGTATATCTTAATGGACAGCAGGCATAGATGGGTTGGGTTTAGATGGATGTTGCCGGTGCTGAGAAAATTGCCTCAAAAGTGAAAAAGAGTCACATTGGCTCAGCTGGATCTCAAGCAATAGGCAAACAAATAGCAATGATTTGACAGAAAAGAAAGTGCTTTTCAAAAGCACCAAATGCTATGCGGCACGTCAGCTCACGCTAAAATCTTTTGGTGTGTGTACGAATGAGTGTATGAATGACTTCTCACAGAACATAATATGACTGAATGCCTGCAGAAAGAGCACCGGATTGTAGGGTGTTTTATATAATCACTGGATTTGCTATGTAGTTGTCTCAAACTTGTGTACACTTTTAAATTACTTGCTTGCCTTAGGTAAATAACAACATATTATCTTTTGGGACATGAGAACCTTTGTATAAAATAAAATTACCATTTAATAAGGCTTTTGAGATATGACAAGTTGCTTACCATCAGTGCTTACACTGTTTGAAGGATTTAATTGTGGGCACACATGGAAATTAAACTGAAAGCATACGTTGTTAAGATTATCTGGGTATTCTGATCATTCAATTTGGTTATTGTCCTCTCAGGTACAACAATACCAGAATGTGTGTGTGTGTGTCTGAGTGTTTAATTAACTCTCTCCTCAGGGGTCTGCTAGAAGAGCATGGGCAAACTGAGACACTCTCTGATTAATGAGAGCATTTAGGCTGCATTGGATTCCATATAATTTAGCACAATAGTCTGCCAGACAGTGAAATATCATCTCATTCTCTCTATTTACACTTATCTGATTCCTGTTCTGTCACAATCAATAGGACATGACGATCCTAAGAGTTCTGTGGGAGTCAAATTAGCGGGAGTGTGGCTACTGTTGTTGAGGCTGTTGTTTAACTTTTTTTCGTTATTCTTTGTAAATTGTTGTTTTTCCCTCAGGTCAGGCAGTTTTATTTAAAGCAGAAGAAGAGGGCGGAGGTGCTAGAGCAGAGGGATCAAGAGAGACTTGCTAATTTGAGAAGCATTATGGAAGAACAGGCAAGGCGAGATAAAGAGAGGTGAGTGTTGTGCCATGGGACCTTGAGTTTTCAGGAAGAGTTGCCAAAAGAGAGTCCAGAACCCTGAGAATACATTATCCCCATTACCAACCATAACTTAACACATACCCTTTTACTCATGGGCCTACAGCTGTTTACAATTACAGATATTTTAATGCACATTCATATTTTATATTGCAATAATATCACACTCATTTTACTCTTATGACAGCTATGTTACAATTATGCACAGCACTCCACCGATTGTGTCAAAATCAATTTACAAGTCATAACAAGATTCATCTGTCTGAAAAGAAGAAAGAAAGTCTGAAAGAATAACCCTGCTGATGTTATCAAGGTTATCTTAGCTTGGGGTTTGAAAGACGTAGGCAATTACAAGGCATGGAGGGTCTAATGAAAAGATGTTGCCTTTTGCCAAGTATAGGATCAATCAGTTTTGGAGGTTTACTCATACCAGGGACTAAAAGTCAGGATATCTCAGCCTTGCTGTTTCAGTTCCTTCTTTCAATCTGTCACCAAGCTTTGTAGAAGTGCAGTACTAAACTGCTAGAATATCCCTTGTCCTAATATCCCTTTCCCTGAGAGAGAGAGAGAGAGAGAGAGAGAGAGAGAGAGGAGAGAGAGAGACTAAGGAAGAGTGACTAACAGCACCCTGTGTCAAAATCTTGGATCACTGATACCGAAAAATATTGTATCACAATATTTTGTTTTGTGATATTGTATTGATTCTCAAAAACATTGGATCATGTTTTTGTGTAGAAAACCCTGGCTAGATAGCAGTGTTGTAAAAGTAAACTGAGGGTTCAGTTCAATATATTGAATAAACCGTGGATTGTGATACGTATGGTATCACCAGATTCTTGCTAATACACAGCCCTACTGATAATATAAAACAATATATCTGAGGGTGAATTTTGCCTTTATTAGCTGCCATTACAATAACATTTTGTGCACATTTTGTGCAGGGGAAATTATTCTTAAATGATCAACAAGACATGTAGAATATTTCCATACCATTGGGTTTTGAGTACTCAGTGTAAACATTATATAGTTGCCATGATGCTGGTACACAAATATATATATGATGATGCCTGAAAGTGTAGAGCTATGTAAGGTAAAATAAAAGAGGAAAAGTGGATGTTAAGGACTAAGCTTGTATTCGATGACTTCAGATTTCCTCAACTTCACGCAGTGAAGTAATTGCAACTTAACAGCAGCTGAAAATCTTGTCAAATGACCTCCAGTCATTTAACTTCTCACCTTGCTACAGTAATGTCGAAGGGTGCTCCACAGTGTGTCAGTACTCGCTGTTTGCCCTGAGAGGGCAGTGCTTTTTAGCTGTTTAATTACTCATTAAAAATAGAGGATTCTACTTTTCAAACCTGTTCTGTTTGGTGTGATTTGCTTAGCATCTCTCTGCAGACTCTCGCAGAGACTGGCATTAGTAACAGATAATGGTGTTGACTCATGGGGGGGCGCTGAGATAGAGATAAAAACAGATGATGGGAGAGGAGCTCCATAAAACCCTCCACAGCCTGGAGGCCTGCTGTGTCAGGAGTGATAGGTAATGGTGGTCGTGGCGGTGGCAGAGGAGGAGAGGGGCTGTTCGGGTCTGATGTCCATACCCTCTGTGCTTCCTCTAGGGTGCAGTTTCGGGCAAATATGTTACAGCTGCGAATGGAGGAGAGAGAGGCGCGGGAGCTTGAGCGGCAGAGAGAAGAAGAAGACAGACAGAATCGTCTGGAAGTTCTCAGAAACCAGGTGGATCATTATCTGCTCTTAACCTTTTCAACCACTCTGATTTTCCCTGTCAGTTGAAATGACCCTCAAGGGAAGCCTTGTGCTTATCTGAGTTGAGGCATTACTGCCACCTTATGGCAGTAAGTAAGAATGCAATTATATGTTATCAATATATTAAATGTTGTTTTTGTTTTTTTTCCTATTTATCTTTTTAGGTTGGGGTGGTGGCAGAGGCAGACCCAGAGAGAATGATGGCAGATACAGAGGCTTGGAGGAGTCGACAGTTGAATGTAAAGGAGTTTGAGCTCCAAAGGCCTCTCTACAGTATTAACACGTACACAGACTCTCAGGTGAGGCATGATAACATTTACCCTCATATAACCTTTAGCTTTGTATGATTACAAAAGCTCTGCAGCTGCATGGTCATTTGGTCAATTCCTTATCTATGCTCTACACATTATGTGTCTGCAAAGCCATATTTTCCATACATATTGATCATTTTGAGCTGTTTACAATATGTTTATTTTCATCTTGGGCGAGAATGACCAGTGAGCCATGCAGTAGAGGAAAATTATGCAAGCTGAATGGCTGCTCAAACTCTGTTTGTCTTCGTTGCAGAGAACTTTATACACCGCCTTGATCTCAAGGCCACCCAGCCCCTCAGTGTACTTTAGAGTCTCTGTGTGTGGTTGTGTCATCCATGTAGAGAACAGGTTAGAATATGGTTATTGTATAACACAGGCAAGGACCAATGATTGTCAAAGTGTGCAAATCCTCTCCAATAACAAACCGCGAAGGATTAGTGATTAATCTTGTTTCAAGTATAGAATTTGGGACAAACCATATAAATAAACAATGGTAACATAGTGTGTGTGTGTGATCTTGTCTGAAACAGCTGGAAATGTATTATTTATTCTGGGTTTTTTTTCCTCCAGATTGTGTCTGATCCAAGAGTGCGGGTGGAGCAGGCCCTGCGGGAGGCTGGTCTGCACCACACTCATTATGCCAAAGAGGTCCTCTCTGTTATCAAGCCCCCTAAACCCCCAAGACGAGATACAAAATCTATACTCAAATTCTGACCAGGGGCTGGTTTGGGATCAGGCCAACCCTTGTTCTGGTATTGAGCATTATATTAAATGTAAATAATACATTTTACTTTGCATGCGTAAGAATCACATTCACAGTTGGACAGATCATGTTGTTTGGGGTGAAAGCTGCTGTACTCACAAAGCAAACTGATAAACAGTAAGTATTGACCACCAAGTGACACAGTGCAATTGTTATTTACTTTTATTATAGGTTTTACACTCTACAACTCACAGTATCATACAGTATAAAAAACATGTACCTCCAAAAATGCCTGCTTATGTTACTTTCAAAAAGGTTTGGATTAGCATGAACACACTGTATGACACTCCTAAATGTAATGTTCCTAGTTATTTAGTAACCAGTGAAATACAGTCTAAGGTCCAATTCATCTTCTTGTATCACAAGAGAAATCAGTAACAAATAATAACTGCTTCTTATCTAACAAACATATAAGAGATATAAAACCTTTAAAACTAGTGGCAACTAGCAAATTGCCTCGACTGCTAGTGAATCATTTCCTGACTTATGACAGTATTATGGTGTTTTTGTTCCAATCATTCAAATGAAGTGACGTGGGTTTCTTGATGCTACAAACACCCCCTTAGATTTAGGAACTGTCTCTATAACTGTAATATATTTCTGTGAGTCATATCTGTGTCAATAGGTTGCAGACTTGGATCACCACCAAAATACTGTAATCAATTGTTCATTTTCCAAAGGTCCACCTGAACATTTTTTGACAAACAAACTACCAGATGTTGAAACTTTGGACTTTCTTGGCAAAGATACACATGTAGATAGAATATTAAAATGAACATACAGAACACATTTTTTAGGAAATTAATGTTACTTTACATAAGTACCAGAGTATTAAATATCAAAGGCTACAACACATACTTACATATATATATATAGATGCAATGTACTTATATTAGCTTCATCAAAGAAATCATACAAATCTTAACTTTTTAAATAAGTCTTGTATGCACATATTAACATGTTAAGTACAGTATATACAGTATACATATCCACAAATCAGTCAAAGCTATATACACTCTATTTGAGAGGCTGGGGTTGGGATGGGACGTGCAGGGGTCTCAGACAATTTGTCCAAGGCGTTTCTTGATAAAGTGGGACACCAGGACTTGAGGTCTCTGCTGGTACTCCACCAGAACATCATGAGAGGAGGTGATCTGGTCTCCCTCAAAGCGGTTCAGCAATGCAACACAGATCACAGCCGCTGGAGACAAAAAGGAGATTATTAGTCATATATGCTAATGTATGTTGGACGTCATTGGGTCAAATCATAATCATCAGTAGAAGCGAGACACACACTATCTATTCTGTACAACGTATGTCTTTAATGACCAATATTGACGTAGGCTAATTAAAGGATATAGAAGTTCTACTTGTAAGATTGTACATTTTGTAAGAAAAATACCTTTCAGGCCACAGACGCGACACATAGCGGCAAATACGGTGGACTCCATTTCAATATTCCTCACTCCAGCCTCATATGCCTTCCTCAGATACTCTACTTTTTCTGCATGAGAGAAGGAGCAGAGAGCTCCATCAAGTCGGCCTTGACCTGGAGAGACACAGCACAGGATTTGTCACTACCTGATCAATAGTTTTGACCTGTTTGAAGTTCTCACCTACAGCATATGCCTCAGTGTGATTACAAATGATTTTACAAACAACGTTAGGTGTGAGATTATGTTGATACCCTCATAGAAGTCATGGGTGCACATGGTGTTTCCGATCACTGTGGGAATGTTCTGAAGCTCAGAGGAGCACTGCAGAAGCTCATTGGCAACTCCTTCATCGAGCTCAGTGCTTCTGGTGATGACTTTACCCAGAACCACCTGCTCAAACTGGGGGCGGAAGGAGTAGTCCACCGCCTTATCCGTGATCACCACTGTCCCCGGAGCCAGACCTAGAGACGACACCAGGCAGAAATGTAAATCTATTCATTACCTGTTAGCCAGGATAGACCAGTGATTGAGGGTAAACCAGACTAAACAATGGTTCTTACCAACTCCACCAGATGTTCCAAGACGAAACAGGACCACGTCACGGCACTGAGCATGGTGCAGCAGTTTTATGAGCTCGTGCAGCATGATGGAAATGGAAGGGACGCCCATGCCATGCTGTGATGGAAACAAATCAAAATAATAATAAATGACTAAACAAGTGATGCAGTATTTGAAGCCTACTAGGAGAGAATATGTCATTGTTGTGTAAAATGAACTGCTGATGTAAAACTTACACTTATAGAGAGCACTGGTCCGACTTTATACATGCTGTAGCGATCAGTTCCCTCACAGATATCTATGATTTCCTCTGGGTTTCCAGGCAGTTCCAGCTCCTGGTGGATGAACTGGGCAAAAGCCTTCATTCGATTCGCACTGCCACCAACACACACAAACTATGGGAAACAGAGGAAGAGGATCAGTGAATTCGGTTTCTACCTTTTTCTAATTCTAAACCCCAAATTATAATTTATTTTTATTAGCATTTCACAAACCTTAATATCTCCGAACATTTCTGGAAGGTTGTGAGTCTTGGTGCTCAAGCTGAAGTGGTAGAGAATGTCCTCCTCCATGGTGTCCAAGTAGGGATTCTTCACTTGGACATGTTGTCTGAGAGCAATATAGTACAGTACATAAATAAATGAGCAGATAGTTCAAGTGAATCATAAGAAGTATATGATTTTATTACCAAACTGAATTAAAAGAATTTAAACCTTAGCTGAGGTTCCCAGACACTTACTTGATATACTCATTGTGGTCATTCCCCATACAGTTCAGTAAAATTGGTGCCATGTTTGCAGGAGACACTCTGAAATTCAGTCTAAAATAAAGTAAAGTTGCTCTGCTGTAAAAACTTCCAAATACACGTTGCAGCTGTTTTTGAATAAGAGTTGTGTCTGGCTGCAGAGCTGATATAGTGTTGACCTCTGACCTTGCCACTGATTGGTTCCAGAGAGAGGAGTCGCACAAGTCTCACAAAAACATCCACCAGCCAAACAAACAAGAGCGAGATCAATCACAAGAAAATGATTATTGGTCCACTTCTGAAGCCTCAGTGTACCTTCAAACCTTCTATGTGACGTAAACTCCTGTTATGACTGAACCTTGCAGACCCCATGAGCTGTGATGTATGTGACAATAGCCAATGAATAACTGCTATGTTATAACATACAGCTTCACCAAAGGACACAGAGATAACCTCTGACATTAACATGCAACATTCTGGATTGTCAAAACAATGACACACACAGAGAGAACTTAATGTACAACCAACATAAATGCTGCTGGCTCAATCAAAAATCAACTACATTATATTATGCATTGTATCATTTGCTTTAAGAGCAGCATTAGGTTTTTGATGTGTCCCAGAAAATGAGCCACTATTTGCTGTAATGTGTCAGTATTACATGGCAGATTATTCCAATTTCAGCCTGTGAGAACAAGTATATATATATTTGTTATGTAAGGCCAAAGTAAAAACAATTGTGAAACATTTTGAATAAATTTCATTTTATTTGAAGAATTAAACTCTTATTCTTTAAAGCTGCCTTTTACAGAGTTACAGACACTGCAAAAAACTTAACACAAGGCTTACGGGTGCCTTCTTTACTTAAGGAATACAGGTAATGAGGCACCACTAACAGGCAAAATAAATAAAAAGGTCCTAGCTTTAATTCAGTTAAGCACTTTCACGCTTGAGTAATACATCTGACGTGACAAAACAATAGAAACTAGGTTAAACATTTGATGTGGCTCAGCATGAAAGGGTAAAAAAAAACAGTTGTTGTTAGAGGAGAGGATGGCAACTATTCCTGTTGGAAGCATTTAACTTTAGGCATCCTTTTCCCGCGCACTGGCAGTCTTCTAGTCTGTTGACACGGAAATGTATACAAGCATGAGTCATTCGCCAAAGCATTATCACATAATTCAGTAATAATCTACATTTTACTGCCGAGCGGCATTATGAATTCTTAATGGCTGAAATCATTTCAAATGTTGTGACCCTCGTTTCATTATGTGCCATATCCACTTATTGAGTCACATAAAATCAATACACTGCTAAACAGCTTGGCTCCATTTTGTTTTATTATAACCGAGGTGGATTTTGATAGCATGATGAAAAAGCAAGAAAGGGAATGATTTATGGTGAGCTGGAAGATAGTAAATCAACCTGTCAGAAACTCTGTGCTACTTACTTGACAAATCATGGTTGGCTATTGGTTTGTCGTCTTCTGCATAACCAAAGCTCAACAGCTTAGACATGTCGACAGGAGCTGGTTTCTTGTCGTATACTCTGTGAGAACACCAAAGACATAAGGTCAGATGTGATGGAAAGGCATTTTTTTAATGGAAATCAAATCAGATGGTGCTATTGTTATTACATACATAATTTAATGTTTTGTCATCGCCACAAAGTGCCCATTAGTTTGACAAGAGAGCCTACAGCTGACACAGGTTAAACATTAAATATGGACCCGACCCTTCCAACATTTTATAACAAGACAAACATTAGCTACTCATTGCAAAAGTACTCTTCCAACAAAGTCAGCAACTGTTATTTACAATTGACAGTTTCCTCTAATCTTAACAAACCAAACCACCAACTCTGCAAAACTATTTATTAAAACAAGTTATTTAATCTTCTCAGATTTAGCCTCATTATCTTGAAATAAAGCAAAAAAAAAAAGGAAATAATTATTTTCACTCTGTCAGTCACATGTTTCGGTGTCAGTGTCTTGCACCGAGACTATACGGCTGATTTCTGCACTGCATTAATGAAAATGACTGATTCTATTTTTACTTGTTTTAATTATTATAATTGTAGAACTTATAACATTTGCAGAAGATCCTTTGTTGACATACAGTATCGGTATCATCCAGACAGTCTCTGTAGCATGTATGTGAAGTTTTTTTGGGGTTTGTGACAAGTCATTGACATTTCCCAAAAGGTACAGGGAACACAGCACAGACCAGCTGTGAGCCAAAACAAACAGGTGAATGTTCAGATTTGTCTAAAAGCCATTGCTCTGCGTGCTGTTTTGTTTGACCTATGTGTGCAGTGGGACCTGTGAACAATTCTGCTTAGTCACCGCCACAACATGGAGACATATAGTCTTATTTATTTATTAATACACACACATTTGGA